TCTTTGGGTTTAAAGTGAGTCTCTTGTAGGCAGTATAAAGATGGGTCTTGGTTTTTATCCATTCAGTGACTCTATGTCTTTTGATTGGTGCATTCAGTCCATTTACATTTAGGGTGATTATCGATAGGTATGTACTTATTGCCATTGCAAACTTTAGATTCGTGGTTACCAAAGGTTCTAGGTTAACTTCCTTACTATTTTAGAGTCTAACTTAACTCACTTAATATACAATTACAAACATAATTTAAAGGTTCTTTTCTGTTTCTCCTCATTTTTCTTCCTCTTCCATTCTTTATATATTAGGTATCATATTCTGTACTCTTTGTCTATCCCTTGATTGACTTTGGTGATAGTTAATTTAATTTTGCATTTGTTTTGTCATTAGCTGTTCTACTTTCTTTATTGTGGTTTTATTACCTCTGGTGACAGCTATTAAACCTTAGGAACACTTCCATCTATAGCAGTCCCTCCAAAAATAATAGACTGTAGAGATGGTTTGTGGGAAGTCAAGTCTCTCAGCTTTTGCTTATCTGGAAATTATTTAATCCCTCCTTCAAATTTAAATGATAATCTTGCCAGATAAAGTAATCTTGGTTCCAGGCCCTTCTGCTTCATTGCATTAAATACATCATGCCACTCCCTTCTTGCCTGTAAGGTTTCTGCTGAGAAGTCCAATGATAGCCTGATGGGCTTTTTTCTTTGTATGTGATCTTATTTCTTTCTCTGGCTGCTTTTAGTAGTCTGTCCTTATCCTTGATTTTGCCATTTTAATAATTATATGTCTTGGTGTTGTCTTCTTTGGGTCCCTTGTGTTGGGAGATCTGTGGATCTCCATGGTCTGAGAGACTATCTCCTTCCCCTGATTGGGGAGGTTTTCAGCAGTTACCTCCTCAAAGACACTTCCTATCCATTTCTCTCTCTCTTCTTCTGGTATCCGTATAATGCGAATATTGTTCCATTTGGATTGGTTACACAGTTCTGTCAATATTGTTTCAGTCTTAGAGATCCTTTTTTCTCTCTGTGCCTCAGCTTCTTTGTATTCTTCTTCTCTAGTTTCTTTCATTTATCGTCTAATGCACCGTATCCAACCTGCTTTTAATACCCTCCATTGTGCTCTTCAATGATTGGATCTCCGACCAGAATTTATTCCTGAGTTCTTGAATATCTTTCCATACCTCCATTATCATGTTAGTGATTTTTATTCTTAAATTCCTTTCAGGAAAGGGTCATGAGGGCCATGTCATCTTTCTTAGGAGTTGTATTAATTTTACTCTGAACCAAGTTCCTTTGGCATTTCATATTTGTATATGGCACCCTCTAATGTCCAGAAGCTCTACTCTCTGGAGCTGCTCAGCCCCTAAAGCAATGTCAGGGGTTGCAGGGGAGTGGTATTGGTGCATGGGGGGAGGAAAGAGGTGTTTCGTGCTTCCCGGCTGCTATGCCTGTCTCCACTGCCTGAACCAGTGGGCCGAGCACACAGGTATAAGCCTCTATGCTTTGCATTTGTAGTTGCTGTAGACAGATCTTCTCTCTGGCTGGCCTAACGCCAGGGTAGTTTTTGCTGGTTTGTGAGCCAGGTGGGGCTGGCCGGGAGAAAGACGCAGTAGGCTGCGTATCACAGAGGGGGTCCTTGAAGATGTGTAGCTAGCCAGAGTGCTGGAGCACCTGGAATTCATGAAAGCTTCCAATTTGCTAGTCAGAGTGCACCCAGACAATTTTGTCTACCTGTTGTTTCTCTTTTGCAATAAGCTCTGTGCAATCCTTGCCCCTTTAGGAGCCCTTTTGCTAAGGGCTTCTGTGTTAGGAAGTCTCTCAGACTGCCTGCCTTTCTTTTGTCTCAGAGTACCTGCCTTTCTTTTGTCCCAGAGCAGCCAGATTTAGATCCCTGCTTTCCACAAGTGGCTGGAATCTCGGTCTCTCTAGGAATCTTGCCTGTCTTAGCTTCCCAATCCCCTAATCATGAGAGTATCATGAAAGCACCATGAAATGTAGGTTTGTGCTCCCAGAGCAGATCTTCGGAGTTAGGTATTCAGCAGTCCCAGGCCTCCACTCCCCGCTCCATTTCTCTTCCTCCCACCAGTGAGCTGGGGTGGGGGAAGGGCTTGGGTCACACTAGGACACAGCTTTGGTATGTTAGGCTGTTCTGTGAGGTCTGCTCTTTTCTCCAGGTTTATGCGGTCTGGTGCAGTCGTCTTTCCTGTTGCTCTTTCAACAGTAGTTGTATTAATTATGTTTTCGTATTATATGCAGTTTTACAAGGAAGCCTCTGCCTCACCTCTCACACTGCCATCTTTAATATGTCTCCCTATGCTTGGGTTTATATTTGGGCTCTCTATTCTGTTCCATTGATCTTTGGGTCTGTTCTTGTGCCAGTACCAACTTGTCTTGATTACTGTGGCTTTGTAGTAGAGCTTGAAGTTGGGGAGTATAATCCCCCCAGCTTTATTCTTCCTTCTCAGAATTGCTTTGGCTATTTTTGGTCTTCTGTGGTTCCATATGAATTTTAAAACTATTTGTTCTAGTTCGTTGAAGAATGCTGTTGGTATTTGGGTAGAGATTGCATTGAAACTGTAGATTACTTTAGGCAGGATGACCATTTTGAGAATATTAGTTCTTCCTGTTCATGAGCACAGGATGTATTTCCATTTATTGGTGTCTTTAATTGCTCTCATGAGAGTCTTGTAGTTTTCATGGTATAGGTCTTTCACTTCCTTGGTTAGGTTTATTCCTAAGTATTTTATTCTTTTTGATGCAATTGTAAATGGAATTGTTCTCCTGATTTCTCTCCCTGCTAGTTCATCATTAGTATATAAGAACACCACAGATTCTGTGTATTAATTTCGTACCCTGCAACTTTGCTGAATTGACTTATTCTAGTAGTTTTGGAGTGGCTTCTTTAGGATTTTTTATGTACAAAATCATGTCATCTGCAAACAGTGACATTTAAACTTCTTCCTTACCAATCTGGATTCCTTTTATTTCTTTGTGTTAGCTGATTTTCTGCCTTTCCTTTTCCTCCATGTATTTTCTTAGAATGTTATAATGTCCCATGACCCCTCAATACTTTTTCTATTAACAATTAGTTTCTCTTTTCTTAGTGAGTAAAGTATGATGAGGACAGGTTTAAATTTCTTGATTGATTCCAGATCTTGAAAAACTTCAAGATCATTAACTTGAAGATGATTGACCCAAATATCAACATATTTTAAGTCTCAGATAATATTGTTTTGTAGAGAATATGTATGTATTATTGTTTTATTATTTCATTACTCTCAGTAATATTTTATTACAGTTTTTATGGAACTAAAGATTTTCTGATTCATTGTTAATTTTGGTTAATTGAATTTGCAATAGATTGACAACAAACATAATTGGTTCTAATCAAAAGGCTGAAGATCAATTGATTTCTTAGTCATTTCTATAATGTTAGGAATTTACTTTGTCTAGAAGTACAGCAGATCATTTCTGGTCCCTTGAAGTTACTAGTTCAGTTTTAATGTTTATGTAAGTATATGCAGTTATTTGCAGGGATGTTTTTGTTATCTGTAGTTGTACACAAACTCTGTAATACTCAATTGCTTCAAACAGTAGTCATATTGTTCACAAATCTGTAATTTGGGCAAGGATTGCAGGGAAATTTGTCTCTGCTTCATGTATCTGTTAGGATGGCTCAATTGGGGCTAGAGGATTGATGTCCAGCTGCTCACACACATGGCTGTCAAAGTAGTATTGGCTATTGAGTCCTCTTCTTACGGGTCTCTCTGTGGACTAACTTAGACTTCCACACAACATGGTGACTTCCAAGAGTGAGTATCCTAAGGAACAGTGTTCTAAGAGACCGGCAATGGAAATTATCAGTTTCTAAAGGCCTGAGCCTGGAAACACACATCCCTTCTGTATTATATTGATAAACAATCACGGGGCTTAGATTCTTGGAGTAGGGAACCTCTAGCTCTTGATAGGAGTATAGAGTGTCAAAGAAATTTGGAGCCATGTTTTCAAATTGCTACAAAGGATATGGGAATTTTACTATTCTTAGTTGATAAGATTACTTTGCTTCAAAGGGAGGATAGTGCTAGTACTTAGAGTTTGTAATATTATTCTTACTCAGATGCTGTTTTCCAGTGCATCAAAATTATGGTGATCATGTTGTGTTAAAAAAAATACTGTGTATTTAGTTAGTTTGGACATTTGAGTCATAATTGTATATGCTAACTTTAAAAGAAAAATCTACAGAAGATGGCTTAACATTTTGGAAACTAAATGCTAAATTATCACAATCAGTGATAGCTGTGATATTTGTTAGTATAAACTAGAGTGTATACATGGAATAAGAAATCTGTTAACTTTAATTTTTGGGGTTGAGGGTAAGGTGATATTAATAAAAGGAACCAGATTTGTGAACATTTTATCTCTGACTTAATTAATATTTCTATTTTAACTCCTCAGACTTCTAATTCTGTGGATCTCTATACAGGATTAAACTAATAGCATTAATTAAAATGGTCATACAAATCATTCCTACTTTAAAACTTTTGTTTTGAAATTAGAATATAGAAACTTTTTATTTTTGAACATATAATTCTACAATTTTTATGTTAGGACATTAAAAATATGATGGAGATTTTTCTTTTTCTTCTGCCATCATTTAGGAATCAGAGTTCCTAAAGAGTTGACAGAGCCTTCATTTTTCTTCCTGCTAGTGACAGACTAGGCTCTGTACACTCATAGAGAGCAGTACAGTACTTGTCACTGGCAGCCTTTCTGTGACAGAGAGCCTATAGACATAAAGTGTAGCCTATTGTGAAGTGTCAAGTGAGAGTCTGCCAAAAACTCAGCAGACAGAACTAATTGGAGAGAAAAAGGATTTTTGTGTCCTCTTCTCCTTTCTATTCTATTTGTTTTATAAGACATTATTAAAGTAGCTTGTTTATGTAAGATTTGTCTGCCTCGCTTCTCATTGCACAGATCGTTTTTTAACTTAAAGTCTTGTACTGCAGATTGTTGAGCAGTTCCACATGGAGGCTGGCACAGGACCAAACTCGAGACATGCAACTCATAACAGTTGATGAAAAATTGGTAAGAATTTTTTACTGTACCGTGCTGTGATTCTACCTTTAGCGTTGTTTTTGTACAACTGATTTTTAGTATGGTGTTCTGGGTTCTTCTAAGAAAGTGATTTGAATTTTAATTTTGAGATTGTATATAAATTTTAGGAAAAATACTCATTACAGGAAGATAATTTTTATTAGGCATTTTATGCCAATACTAAGAAATTACAAAAGGCTTCCATTTCTGTGGTGTTTGTAAGAAGCAGTCAGAGCATTTTTATTTTTGTAATTAATATATTGTTTTTTATTTTCTCAGTACACTCCTATTAAGTCAAAACACTTGTGAGTAAATACTATCTAAAACTATGTATATTGGTTTTTCTGGAACTAGTTTTTGTTACTGTGGGTGTATATATATATGTATATATATGTATCCATACGTATATGCATCCCATTTCTACATTATACATGAGAGATAACAACCAGCAACAAATGAATAATAATCTTCTCTTAGTCAGTAGCTGATATAATTTTGGTAATTATCCCTTATTAAACTTTTCAGATATAACTTGTTATTCTTATACAGTACCACAAATTTTATAAAGTTTCTAAGGCTTCTAGTAAAATTATGTTATAGTACAAACATGATTTTCATTTTTAAATCAAATATGTGGGTATGTTTCCTAACTACTCCTTTTCTAATTGTTGTACATTCTTTTATTCAATTTCAGGTCTGTAAACATAATTTAATAGGTCACTCAAGGTTCTATTCACATTATTAAAGATAATAACAGATAAAACAAATGGGACTACATCATGCTGAAAAGCTTCTGTATAGCAAAGGATACTATCAGCAGAACAAAAAGGCATCCTACAGTATGGGAGACTATATTTGTAAATGACATATCTGACAAGGGGTTAACATCCAAAATATATAAAGAACTCATATGCCTCAACACCAAAAAAGCAAATAACCCTATTTAAAAATGGGCAGAGGATATGAACAGACACTTCTCCAAAGAAGAAAGTCAGATGGGCAAAGGCACATGAAAAGATGCTCCACATCACTAATTATCAGGAAATGCAAATTAAAACCACAATGAGATATCACCGCACTCTAGGTAGGGTGGCCAACATAGAATAGAATAGGAACAACAAATGCTGGTAAGGATATGGAGAAAGGGGAACCCTCCTACACTGCTGGTGGGAATGTAAACTAGTCCAACCGTTGTGGAAAGCAATATGGAAGTTCTTAAAAAACAAAATAGAGATACGATTTGACCCAGGAATTCCACTCCTAGGAATTTGCCCTAAGAATGCAGCAGCCCAGTTTAAAAAAGACATATGCACCCCTATGTTTATCGCAGCACTTTTTACAATAGCCAAGAAATGGAAGCAACCTAAGTGTCCATCAGTAGATGAATGAATAAAGAAGATGGGGTACATATACACAATGGAATATTATTCAGTCATGAGAAGAAAACAAATCCTACCATTTGCAAAAACATGGAGGGAGCTAGAGGGTTTTATGCTCAGTGAAATAAGCCAGGTGGAAAAAGACAAGTACCAAATGATTTCACTCATCTGTAGAGCATAAGAACAAAGAAAAAACTGAAGAAACAAAACAGCAGCAGACTCACAGAACCCGAGAATGTACTAACAGTTACCTAAGGATAAGGGACTGGGGGTTGCAGGGGTGGGGGGAAAGGGAGGGAGAAGGGGAATAAGGGGCATTACGATTAGCACACATAATGAATGTAGCGGGTGGGCACAAGGAAGACAGTATAGCACAGAGAGGACAAGTAGTGATTCTGTAGCATTTTACTATGCTGATTGACAGTGACTGTAATGGGATATGTGGTGGGGACTTGATAATGGAGGGAATCTATTAACCACAATGTTGCTCATGTAATTATTTATTAATGATACAAAAAAAAAGAGAAAAAGAAAACAAAACCTTCCTTTGTAAATACAAAGAAAACCACAACTATTTTGAACATAAGTCAAACAACTAAAAAAGAAAGAAATTAAAGTAAATTATATCATGTAAAAAAAAAAAGAGATAAATAAATAGAAAAGTAAATATACAGAAAATTGGAAAAACTCCCATTTTATGCTTAAGGTTGGTTGGTTTAATCTTTAAATTATCTCTTAGGTCTGCCTTGTGACCGAGCCATCATACTAGTCATCTTTCACCTCTGTTGCTACAGTAGTTTAATTGATCTACAGAGGTAATTTAATATTCCTTTGTTTCCAAAGGATAACCAGAAGAGTCTCTTTTAAACGCTGGTTTTCTTATGGTGTTTCTTACAGACCAAGAATAGACATTAAAATCCTAACCACTTTTGAGGTCTTATGTGAGTTAACTCTTGCCTTCCTCTCTAGGTTTATTTTGTACCATTGTCTTTTATACACTGTACTGCAGCCATACCAAGCATGGAACTTGATGTTCCTTGTTCTGCTTCAGGGCATTCAGATTCCAGTTCACTCTGCCTAGATGCTTTTTAGTCTCCTAGCTGGTCATCAGGTACCATCTACTTGGATTCAAATGCTATTCAAACATCACTTCCTTTATCAAGTATATAAAAGTAGTGAGGCAGGTATATATGTAAGAGGAGGAGGGTTTGCATGTGCCATGGGTTCATTAATGAAGGTACAATAATTATAATTTTTCCAGTGATCATCTCTTTTAAGCCTTAGGAGATGACCTTCTTATTCCAGTATTAGGGGGTTTATTACTCCTTTAAAAATTTTCAAATTTTATAAAGGTCATTATTAATACTCTTAAGTTCTCTTCTTTTTAGTTAGAAGTCAAACAGCAGTGTATTATTCTAAACAAGGTGCTATGAAGCATACCAGATAAATATACAGATTACTTTGAGTTTTGTGTTTTTAATTATATCTCATAAAATTAGTTGCGTACTTTCAGTGAATATTATTGCCCTGCATAGATTTTCTCCAGCTTTGATTATGTCTTTCTTGAAGTGTAGTAGTAAAAGTATTAATGTGGTAGTCCAGCTGAAGTCAATTAAGCCTTCGGTATAACTATTCTTAGTTACTGAAGTAATACTGAATCCCATAGGTAATTTTCAAACCTGAATTTTAGCCTTCACTTTGGTTTATATTTAAATGATAGTATTAAGTAATCAATTATATAATGATGTTAGGGATTTCATGTCTTCTTGTTTGTACAGAATCGGATGGATGGTTTAGTAAATAGCCTAATGACAAGAAAGACCAGGGGCTTGTCATTTCCAGAAGAGTACGTCCAGAAATATTGAGCAGTTGGAGTTGATTATATTTGTATTTTGAACAAAGGTGATTCTAAAAATACACAGTAATCCCGCTTTATCCAGAGGTGACACAATCCAAGACCCCCCAGAGGGTGCATGAAACCATGGATAGTATCAAACCCTACATATAGTATGTTTTTTCTTATATATACCTACTACCTATGACATACAGTAAGAGATTTAACAATAACTAATGATAAAATAGAACTATACTGTAATAAAATGTATATGAATGTGGTCTGTCAAAATATCTTACTGTACTGTACTCACTCTTAGGACTGATGATGATGATGTGAGACAATAAAATGCCTACATGATGAGGTGAAATGAGGTAAATGATGTAGGTGTTGTGATGTAGTATTAGGCTGCTATTGACCTTCTGATGTTACATGAGGAAGATCATCTACTTCTGGACTGCAGTTGAGCATGGGTAACTGAAGCCATAGAAAGCAAAACTGGATAAAGGGGGGCTACTGAATATCAACATTAATGATAAAGTATTCCAAAATGTGAAATAAGTCTTTAGGAGTATTTTAAAAGGAGTTGTGGAAACAGCATTTTAATGTCACTATTAATGTAAGCCAATTTATTAACTTAGTATACCATTTTTATTAAGTACTCAATACTATCTTACTGTTACATCTGTGCCTGAAATTGGATAGAAGCTGGAATCTTAATTGTAAGGTAACAGTTAATTATTATCATGATTTATATTGGATCTTCTTAAATAACATATTTTTAAATTAATATAGATGATGCCTATTAAAGCCAAGGGCTTAAGTACATGGACTAAACTTAGTTGGGGATCAATTTTAGTGGTTATTTCTAGTTTCAGAAAATATATCCTAGAAATTTAAAACCAGAAGATTACTTTAGATGTTATCTATTTATATTAATGAATCCAGTTATTTTTCATTAAAAAATAGTTTAATATTTTATTCAAGAGAACTCTTATGTGGGAATCTAATAGATAATAAACTAGATATAAGCAGAACTGCTGGAGGGTAAAGTGAGTGCATGAGGGAAGACTTGTACACCTTCCCCAAGATTACTTTCTCAGGGGACTACATAGAGTAAGATTTGGAAAGATAATTTAATCTGTCCCTTTTTATTAGACTAAACAACTGGTTCTCAAACTTCTGTTTAAAAAGTTTCCAGTTAACTGGTTCTCAGTTCTTTTGAGGCTGCTTTTTTTACTGATCAACCATAATTAGTAGAAAGCTGTTTTTTATGGAGAAAAAAGTATTTCAACAAATGAGGTGGAGCAGTTATATATCCAAATGCAAAAAACTAACGAACCAAAAAATTGTATCCATACTTTGCACCATATTCAAAGATTAACTAGAAGTCCTAATGGTAAATTTATAGTCCTAATTATAAAACTAAAAGTTATAAAACTTCTAGAAGAAAATATGGGAGAAAATCTTTCTAACTTTAGGTTAGATGAATATTTTTTAGATACAAAACCAAAGCATGATCCATTTTTAAAAATTTTATAACGTTGGTACTTCCTCACAATTAAAAATTTCTACTCCTTGAAAGACATTGCTAAGAGAATTAAAAGGCAAGCCACAAATTGGGAGGTAATATCTGTAAAACATGTATCTGATAAAGGACTTATATCCAGAAAATAGACATTTATAACTAAGTAATTTGATATTAACTCAAATAAAAATAAGCAAACACTTTACCCAGAAGATAGTCACACACTGAAACTACAGTGAGATGCTACTAC